CAACAAAACACATCTGAATCTAGAACTTTATTACTAAAAAACAAACAACAAAAAAAAACACATCTACCAAGATGTCCAGAAGTATGTTTTATTGTTTTGTGTTATGTGCAAGGCTGTGATGTGATACTATTATCATTAAAACAAGGTCAACAATTTTAGATAGCTGCCTGGTTGTGATCATGGTAATAATGAAATTCCCAAAATTCTTTAAAAATATATTTGAATTGGCAGCTTTTTTAAACCAGCAAGTGTAACTTTTTACCAGTGTCGTATCTACATGCATGCTTGCATCGGATGTGCATTGGGGTATTTCATTTTACTTTAGTATTTTTTTTCTCACTAAAAATGTATCCACTTTATTACGACGTCAGAATAGCAAACGCTAAAGCATTTTTTACATGTCTAAAAACGAAGGGGGATAAACAGAAGAGGGGTTACTGTAATACTGTATTTTTAACAGCAATAGAACATTTGAACTGAACACAGCAACAGAGAACCTTTACAGGGGGAAGGGCTCTATAGGATATGCCTCAATATCTCGTTCTTTGTATCCAGACTGAGCTTAGAGTAAAACACACTTAAAATAAACACTGAAACAACGCAGTTCAGGAAGAGGACACATTCCTAAGTCAACAGACAGTAGTGACATTTTTCAACAATACCCCCCCCCATCCACCCCGGAAAAAAAGAGGGAAAAAGCGTAGAAATTCAGAAACCATTCGAGTCCCTTTTACTTGGTGATGAACAGGTGATAGAAGAAGAGAAGCACATTTTGTCTTGAATTTTACATCTCATATCCTCCTTCAGATTTTCAAGCTTCAAGAAGATATTATCCTATATATGCGCTGCAAGACTTGTGCTATTGGGGCATTGGAGGAATCAACAACTAATAACAAGAATAATAATAACAAGAATAATTAATAACAAGAATAATAATGAGAGGAAATCGGCTTGGAGAGGAATAGGATAAGGAAGGGCTTCTGTATGTGCTTCACGGGGAGTAGAGAGAAACCCAAGACAGTTTTATTTTCAATGGTCCTTACTTTTTTTCTCAAAGAGGGTAGAACAAAAGTAGTCAGAACAAGTAAAATATAGGGATTTTTTACAAGTAGCTGGAGTGAGATGATGGGGCGGCAATAAGCGGCACTCCAGTGTTGCCTCTCACCCCACCACACCCTCTGCAGTCCTGTACATGAGTTTCAGGGGATGGTTTTGGGGATCCATTCCTCCCTCCAGTCACCCCTCTTCTCCACTCGTCCTCTCCCAGTCAAGGGCTCTGTCTCTGGGGAAGCCTGCAGTGACAGCCCTGGGCCAGGTCTAGAGAAGCTGGAGGTCTCTCTCAGTACATTATGGGAGGCTTGGTGTAGGGTCTGTTCTCTGTTAGGGAAACAAAGAAACATCAGTTAATCAAGTGATCCATCCACCCATCTTTACTCAGTGTCATACCGCAGTTTTATAGCTACTCTCTTGCAATTCTACACATTTTGCCATGACCCAAAACACAACCAAAACAAACTACAAATGCATCCAACAAGTTTGTATAGTCACAAGCTTGATGTAGTCAAACACTAAACTTTTGACTACTTTAATACACTATAAAACTTATTCAAATGGGGGGACTATATACAGTACATAAAGTGCTTTAATTTGTAAACGGTAAAACAGATATGCATGAAAATACCCTCAAATAAAAGGTGACATTCTGTACTGTCGCCTCATATGAAACATTTGATCTCAAATCCAAAATGCTGGAGTATAAAGCCAAATGTACAACTTTTATCTTCACTGTCCAAATAAATACAGAGGAGAGTGTAAATAAAGATGTTTCTCTAGTAAAGTTGTTTACTCTCCAGAGTGTGTATATATTTCAAATTATGTGAAACTGAGTTTGTGATTTCTCAACTTTCCCACAAGCATGAGAACAAAAGTTCAAGAGCAACCAACGTATTTAGTATCTCCTTTAATCAAATGTGCATCAGGAATAATATGGGTGATTAATCATTTAGTGTTAGTTGTCAACAGGAGGGAACAGCTGAAAGAAAAACAGCTGGATAACAAAGTGACTGGAGTCAGCAGCTGCATGTTAATCTCTACATGGTAGCCACCATCAGCTCATCTCACTGGAGATGGAGACAGAGAGAATGGGTAATCACTGTGCTGTGCTAAGGGGAGTGGTTCTGCATGTTTGAAATGTGTTCTGGGAACATAGAAAATACAACGGAACATAGTCAGGAGGAAAAAAGCAATGTTCAGTGGTGTTGGAGGATGAGGGCCAGAAAGAGAGAACATGATTGTGATGTACTGTCTGTACTGTCAGATGAGAAAGAAGAGAAGAGCAACACTTCCTGATTCTCTAATTGTTTTCCAATGTTAATATGTACCGTCAAGATAACTATATTTGACATTTGTTCTGTCTGTTATATGTTTAACCCTTCCCAGGGCAGTGTGAATAGAGTAGATGTGTGGAGGCAGAATTAGTGGTTTGTGTATGTTGCAACACCTCTGGGAACCCTCCTCAGCAGCTCAATCCATATTTAACATGGCTCTGGCCCTCTGGCCTCATTCTTTTCTGCATAGACTGCAAACTGGCTAATTACAGCAGATCTGGGACTGCCATAAAGCTTCACCTTGATAGTTCACGCTTGCTCTTTTTTCATTGGGTTGCCAATTAGTGAGTTGCAAACTTTGGAAATGAATGGTACCTAAGGGTCTCATTTGCTATATGTATAGCGTGTGTTTGGAACTAAAGCAGGTTATGAGATTTCTAGTTATTTGGGAGTACATTATTCATGTAGCTGAAGATGCTGAGCCGTTGTTTAAGGAACAAGTGGTTGTGATAGGAGCCAGAGTGAAGCCAGAATGAAGCCAGGAGTAAAGCCAGGAGTAAAGCCACGAGTAAAGCCAGGAGTGAAGCCAGGAGTGAAGCCAGGAGTGAAGCCAGGAGTGAAGCCAGGAGTGAAGCCAGGAGTGTGTTAGTTTAATAACACCTTGAGTGTTGAGGTCCTCATCTATCCTTTCTGGGTCCTTGTCTTTGATTACTTTTCCCTGCCGTCTCCCCCCCACCTCCCTCTCTCTTACTCTCCCCCTCTTCTCTTAATCGGCTTGTAAAATGATGTCACCTTCTTTTGTATTCAGCAGTTTCTGTTACCTCCACTCATCTTGATTAATAAAAAAGACGCAGGTCTGCGTAATAGACCAACACACAGAGGAACCTGAGAAAGCGTAAAAAGCTTTTAGCCCCAGAAGTGGGATCTCAGCAAGGACAATCAAACCTAATGAAATCAGGTGTCAGTGCTAAGCTTGCAAAACTGTGAAGTCCAACTTGGGAGTGAAGCGAGGTGTAATTAGATTTCTCCCAGCGTAATGGATAAATGCGGTGGGCCGTGGGGGTGGAGGGGCCGGACAACACACTCCTGACTGGAGCTCTTAAGCCCCTGTGTGAGTGAGTCAGTGGGCTCCCAGTCCCCAAACAGCCAGGAGCTCCAGGAGAGGCCCCACGTGTCCAGCTACAGCATCCCCACAGACAGACACCTCTGCTGGGCATGGTGGTAGTGGGGCGATGGACAGGTATATCACATCAGCATGAGATTCCAAGCTGGCACAGTTGAAACAGAGTTATTTTAATAGCACTGTAATTCAGATTGATTGCTACACAGTGGATGCAATCATTGATAGGTAGTAGGGGGGTAGATCTAACGAATGCTTTCATAATGATAGCTCAGATGTAATCAGCCAGTCGTGATGAGGCTTGAATGAAATATTACTGAGATAATTATCCTTTAAAACTTTGGTCAAAGGAAAGTCCTTCAATGCAAACAGAAGAGACATAGGAAAAGGATAGATGTACTCAACCAGTTTTAAGCAGTAACACAGGAAGTCATGGTTTTGGGGAAAATGTCTTCAAATGTAATTGAACTCCTGTGGCTGCCGTCACTGTTGTAACCCTTCATGCTCATCACTGGCCAGTGTACGTGAAATGTGGACGGTGCGCGACTACTCCAGAGCATGACTGAAGGTAGGGAATGATTATAGTGTGACAGTGTCACCCACGCCTCTCTCTCTCTCTTTCTGTGCCCTGTGGAGGGCAGTGGAGCGTGAGGGAAGGTGTGCCGTCTGTCCCTCACATTGCCTTGGCAGCTCTCCCTGCTGCCCTAAAGGTCAGGAACGCCATGGCCCCATAATCCCCCTCTCCACACTGTCATTAGTAACGGCTGACACCTACAGGCCAGCCGAGTACTAAGGGTCATGACAAATACGTGGATTTACAAGGCTGAATGTCAGATAATTATGTGTTGCGATAGGAACACAATAGTAAGTGGGATTAACAATGAAGTCATAATTGTTCACTGTGATAAAATGGGGTTTGTGTTTTAAAAATTGCTTGCTACACATAACCAGTTTTGAAACATGTCTGTGAGCCAGTATGTCTACATCTTTGATGTTATGGTTAGGACTTGAGGTTTTAGCTCCGAGAGGGGTTCCATACTTCGGTAATCCTGACCAAGACAACAGATTTAAACTCACCCACAGACGACCCCCTCACACTGATAATGAACCCTGTCCTTAGAAAAGCAAACCCCCGAGCGGAGCAGCCTATAGATACGAAGAGAGGGCCTCAACATTCCGCTGCGTGGCGATGCTGTCAGAGGCAAGAAAAATGGAGAGCCCTTTATTTGCAGACTGTGAAATTGGCTCTGAGAAAAACAATCTCCACCTTCTCATCTCCACTGAAACACTTTGCAGCACACTCACTGGATGTTCTGTAAACATATGTATTTATTCACCTATCGCAGCCCACATTTCAATAAGACGTACGGCAGAGTGTCTTTAATTCGCCTTCAGACATGTTGATAATAGGTTCCATTTATCAAACATAACTTCAGCTGCATTTTGGGGGGATCGGAGGGGAGGGTGGAGGTGGAGAGACAGGGGGTTCTACAAACAAAACTCGGAGAGAATGGAAGCGTGAAACGCATATGCAACAACATCAGTTAGTAATCTTATTCCGAGGGGTGGGAGTCTTCAAAGAGGCCCTGGTGGAGAGCGGAGAGCTGAGGAGAGAGAGAGAGAGAGAGAGAGAGAGAGTCTCTCTGGTTTGTGTTTGCTGTTGTGTAACAAGGTACCATGATGAGGCACTAAGGCCCACATGTGGAGCATGTGGAGGCCACAACGTCCCCCAACCTCATCAATCCCCTAACTTTGACCTCCACACGTGAGGGTACTTTCCAACATTAACAAGTTAATCCAAATGTTACTTTGCGGTGCACATATTGTGGTTTTATGACTATATTTGGAAATAGAAAGATATATTCAGGGATCAAACCATGCTACCCCCAGCTCTAGCTGTATCCCTGTATGAATATCTTCCATACAGGGTTCTAGAGTGATGCGCCCAGAAGAGTGTACCGCCAACTACATCGAGTCACTTTTTTATTTGTAAAAATGTCCATTCTTTAATGCTTACCTTACCTATGTTTGTCTTGTGTATCTGCAAGCTTTTCTATGGGTGCTGAAATCTGTAGTTTTTTATAAAAATTGCACCCCGTAATCCACTGTTTTCCAATGGAGTAGGAACATTTCAAACGTGCACTACCACTCGATACTTTTATAAATATCCATTATTTAATGCTTACCTGTCCTGATTGCTTCCCCTGCCAAAACAAAAAAATCTGCTGTAAAATGACGAGCTGCTCCTTCTCCATTCACAAACAACGTCGCGTAAAATGCTACTTTTATTTTAAAAACTACAGATATCCAATTCTTCCTACAATTGTGTCAAGTTGGCTGGATGTCCTTTGGGGTGGTGGACCATTCTTAATACACACGGGAAACTGTTGAGTGTGAAAAACCCAGCAGCGTTGCAGTTCTTGACACACTCAAATCGGTGCGCCTGGCACCTACTACCATACCCCGTTCAAAGGCACTTAAATATTTAGTCTTGCAGATTCACCCTCTGAATGGCACACATACACAATCCATGTCTCAATTGTCTCAAGGCTTAAAAATCCTTCTTTAACAGGTCTCCTCCCCTTCATCTACACTGATTGAAGTGGATTTAACAAATTACATCAATAAGGGATCATAGCTTTCACCTGGATTCACCTGGTCAGTCTATGTGATGGAAAGAGCAGGTGTTCCTAATGTTTTGTACACTCAGTGTATATGTCAAACACTGGAGTTAAGTCATAGCTACCTGACCCACCAGATCCCAGAGACTGAGAGGGAGCGTGAACCAGGGGCGTGCTAATGCTTACCCTGTACAGCCGAGTTCTCCTGCTGGCTGCCGTTATGCTCCGGCTCAACCTCTGGTATCACTGCCTCTGAAATGGAACACAACCATCAGTTAGGACTAATGCTTCATCCCTATCTAGCCTACTTCTTACCTATCCAGACAGTCTCTGCGTATCCACATATACCAGGTGGAGAAGAAATTCTATCCAAGAGACAAATTATGTTTTAAGTGGGGGGGGGGATTGTACGGAAACGGGGATAAGATTTAGATAAGATTTTCTGCCAACAGCATGAGAAGTAGCCTGATTGTTCACACAATAATGTATTAGCCCCAACAACGTCAGATGAAAGGAAACCCAATGCATTTCTTCTAATAAATTCATGTTTAATCAGCCTTGGAAATAATTGCTCTGCCCTCTGAAATGTTTGCAGATGTGTGCCGTGCTCTTGATTCCGGTTTTTTCCTTCTCTGCTCCTGGTAAGATATTCAGAAATAAACAACTGAAAATGAGGAGCTATCAAAACAATTTTCAGTTTTAAGCGTTTGCATTTCGAGCGTTTATGATAAGTATCTGTATCCATTTCCTCTCAGGGTAACAATGCTAATATGCTGGAAGTGATAACCGCTAGGACCGCTGCGCTGACAACATGAATGAAAATATCTGCGTTGCTTTACAGAGAAGAATGAGGAAGACAAGTACTGGATAAAAAAAGAGAGAGGGAGATGGAAAGGGCAGGGGGAAAGAAACTAGGAACAGGATGAGAAAGAGAGTGAATACATATAATAAAACAGGAGATGAGAGGATAGTTAAAGAGGAGGAGGAGGAGGAGGAGGAGGAGGAGGAGGAGACGAGAGTATGGAGGCCTACCATTGAGACTCATGCAGAGGTTCTCTGGGGAGGTGGCCGTTTTGAGGGCCTGCTCCACCTGCTCACGACGCTTGGACTCAAACTCCAGAGCCTCCTGTAGTTTCCTCTTAGCCTTCTTCTCCTTCTTCAGCCGCTTCTGGATGGTGGCTGAACAAGGACAGAGGGAGGGAGAGGGGGAGATAGCCAGTGAGTTGACAGGCTCACCTCGACTGAGTCAAACTGAGAAAACCCTTTGCATCGGTGAATCCTTAGTGCTGCCTCCCAGTACTAGAACAGCTAGCCTTGCTGTACCAGCCCAGCTTATCCCAGCTCAGAGCTGGCTGCTAGGCTGTCTCCAGTTGGCAGCTCTTGGGGGTGCCGATTCTCCCCAAATTAACAGCCAAATAAAAAGCATGTTCCCAGTAAAGAGGAACCAACAGCACCATGCAGAAGCACCAGCTCTGCCCTGTCTAACACCTCTAATTACACACAGCTGATTGGCCAAATCATCACTTTACTGCCTCTCTATTAAAAGACACATTAGAATAACATGCAATTAGATAACAGCCATGGCTAATAGATAATCAGTGTCTGTACATATTGTTGGAGTTGTTACCGAGGCGACTAATTGCCTTAATTTCTTGGCTGGGGTTGAAGATGCACAACTCAAATCTAAATCAGACACGGATGTATGCCAAGTCCAGTAAAGATGCAAGCACATATTCTTTTGGCTGGATTTGTATTTACTGTATGTATATATTAATTTATTCATTCACGCTGCCAGATCTCTTTCTCTCTCTCAATTCAAAGGGCTTTATTGGCATGGGAAGCATGTGTTTACATCGCCAAAGCAAGTGAAATAAACAATAAACAAAAGTGAGAAGACACAAAACAACATCAACAACAAACTATTAGAAATGAACAGTAAACGTTGCACTCACAAAGGTTTCAAAACGCTAACGACATTTCAAGTGTTAGATTTAAGGCCTGAGGGGGTGTGGTACAGTGGGGAAAAAATGTATTTAGTCAGCCACCAATTGTGCAAGTTCTCCCACTTAAAAAGATGAGAGAGGCCTGTCATTTTCATCATAGGTACACGTCAACTATGACAGACAAAATGAGGAAAAAAAATCCAGAAAATCACATTGTAGGATTTTTAATGAATTTATTTGCAAATTATGGTGGAAAATAAGTATTTGGTCACCTACAAACAAGCAAGATTTCTGGCTCTCACAGACCTGTAACTTCTTCTTTAAGAGTTTTCTCTGTCCTCCACTCGTTACCTGTATTAATGGCACCTGTTTGAACTTGTTATCAGTATAAAAGACACCTGTCCACAACCTCAAACAGTCACACTCCAAACTCCACTATGGCCAAGACCAAAGAGCTGTCAAAGGACACCAGAAACAAAATTGTAGACCTGCACCAGGCTGGGAAGACTGAATCTGCAATAGGTAAGCAGCTTGGTTTGAAGAAATCAACTGTGGGAGCAATTATTAGGAAATGGAAGACATACAAGACCATTTATAATCTCCCTCGATCTGGGGCTCCACGCAAGATCTCACCCCGTGGGGTCAAAATGATCCCAAGAACGGTGAGCAAAAATCCCAGAACCACACGGGGGGACCTAGTGAATGACCTGCAGAGAGCTGGGACCAAAGTAACAAAGCCTACCATCAGTAACACACTACGCCGCCAGGGACTCAAATCCTGCAGTGCAGACGTGTCCCCCTGCTTAAGCCAGTACATGTCCAGGCCCGTCTGAAGTTTGCTAGAGTGCATTTGGATGATCCAGAAGAGGATTGGGAGAATGTCATATGTTATATGGTCAGATGAAACCAAAATAGAACTTGTCGTGTTTGGAGGACAAAGAATGCTGAGTTGCATCCAAAGAACACCATACCTACTGTGAAGCATGGGGGTGGAAACATCATGCTTTGGGGCTGTTTTTCTGCAAAGGGACCAGGACGACTGATCCGTGTAAAGGAAAGAATGAATGGGGCCATGTATCATGTGATTTTGAGTGAAAACCTCCTTCCATCAGCAAGGGCATTGAAGATGAAACGTGGCTGGGTCTTTCAGCATGACAATGATCCCAAACACAACCGCCCGGGCAACGAAGGAGTGGCTTCGTAAGAAGCATTTCAAGGTCCTGGAATGGCCTAGCCAGTCTCCAGATCTCAACCCCATAGAAAATCTTTGGAGGGAGTTGAAAGTCCGTGTTGCCCAGCGACAGCCCCAAAACATCACTGCTCTAGAGGAGATCTGCATGGAGGAATGGGCCAAAATACCAGCAACAGTGTGTGAAAACCTTGTGAAGACTTACAGAAAACGTTTGACCTGTTTCATTGCCAACAAAGGGTATATAACAAAGTATTGAGAAACTTTTGTTATTGACCAAATACTTATTTTCCACCATAATTTGCAAATAAATTCATAAAAAATCCTACAATGTGATTTTCTGGATTTTTTTTCCTCATTTTGTCTGTCATAGTTGACGTGTACCTATGATGAAAATTACAGGCCTCTCTCATCTTTTTAAGTGGGAGAACTTGCACAATTGGTGGCTGACTAAATACTTTTTTTCCCCACTGTATATGGCCAGTATACCACAGCTAAGGGCTGTTTTTACGCTCGACGCAACGCGGAGTGCCTGGACACAGCCCTTAGCCGTGGTATATTGGCCATATACCACAAAGCCACGAGGTGCCTTATTGCTATTATAAACTGGTTACCAACATAGTTAGAGCAGTAAAAATAAATGTTTTGTCATACCCATGGTATACGGTCTGATATACCATGGCTGTCAGCCAATCAGCATTCAGGGCTCGAACCACCCAGTTTATAATCTCAGCTATGTACAGTGTTTTAGCAATGTGCAAATAGTTGTAGCACAAATAGTAGGGGAGGATAAAAAAATATTATTGGTATTTACAATGTTTGTGCTCTACTGGTTGCCATGGTAACAGGCCACAAATCTTGCTGCTGTGATGGCACACTGCGGTATTTCGCCTAACAGATATGGGAGTTTATCAATGTTTGGAACACCATTATTTTTGTCTTACTGAGATTCACTGTCAGGGCCCAAGTCTGACAGTATCTGTGCAGAAGATCTAGGTGCTGCTGTAGGGGACAGAATCACCAGATCATCTCCAAACAGTAGACATTTGATTTCCGAGTCCAGTAGGGTGAGGCCGGGTGCTGCAGACTGTTCTAGTGTTCTATGCCCTCGCCAATTCATTGATATGTATTCATTGCTACACAGTATATGCATCTCTCTCTCTCTCTCTCTCTCTCGCTCTCTCTTGCTCTCACTCTCTCTCTCCTACCTCGGCTGTGCAGTTCGGAGGTGAGCTGTCTCTCCAGACTCTCTCTCATCTCTCTCTCCCTGTAGAGCTCCATCTTGAGCTCCTTCCTCTCCTGCTGGACCTGTTTCTCCTGCACACGGGCGTTGTCCACCGCTACCTTCAGCAGGCCCTGCGCCGCCCGAGGGACAGAGAAAGGAGCACAGCACTTTAACCTTTAACTCCACCACTACCCACCAGAGCACCATTACACACACACACACACACACACACACACACACACACACACAGCACACACACACACACACACACACACACACACACACACACACACACACACACAGCACACACACACAGCACACACTCCTATCAGTGCCACTATTCCATGACATAAAGAGTGCGTCTCTACCTGGATGTTGGTGAGCAGAGTCTCCACAGAGTTGAGTCCGTCAGCGAAGAGGAAGGGCGCAGGGAAGCCTGGAGGCAGAGTCTGTCCTCCCAGGGGCATCTTCTCAAAGCCTGGCTTCATCATGGGCAGGGCCAGCTGCGCCTCATCTGCTCAACACAACACACAATAGACCTGGACTTACAACCAGCTTTATCACACGTAATGGGGCTGTTAAAATAAAACTGATGCACAAACACACATTCACTCACATTCACAGGACCATATGAACAGTTTAATAAAGCTAAAAGCATAGTTGATGGTAGACAGTGAAAACAGCAGAGAGGGAAGCAGCAGAGAGGGAAGCAGCGTGTGATGGTGTGTGAGGAGGACGCCTGAATGTCCTGTACAGCCTCTCTCTGAAGAGTGGTTCATTTATAAGGAGCAGAGCGCAAACCCCAGATCAGCGCAGAGTATCACCACGGAGACAGCTACCGAACAGCAAAGAGAATCATATTTTACCTTCCCACAACCCTCTCTATCCTCCCACCCACTCCCTCCCCCACCCACAGAGGGAACGACAGGCCCGCGGTCCAGGGGAAAATAGATAGAAGCCTGAGAGTGGCTCGAGCCATGATTCACCCGGATAATCTGGCTCGGCGAGATGACACCAGCCATCCCGGCTTCCCGGGGCAAGACAAATAGGACAGCCAGGGTGGGAATTGTGATGACAGTGTATCACGGGTCACATCGATTTCCCGCTGCGCTCCCAGGCTGGCCAGATAACCCTGCACTCCATTCTGCCCATTGTTCATATTCCACCTGTCCCACAAGCAATAAATTTCCCCCTGTACTGGAAAGGGCATTAAAGTAAAGAGAGGGAGAGAGAGGGAGCGAGGGAGAGAGAGGTGGGGAGAGAGAGGTGGAAAAAAAAGAGAATAATTCCCCTCCTCCCCCCCCCCAACGGTTTGACAGTCTGTGATTAAGTTTTTCGTACCGACTGAAAGTGGTTCGCAGATCAAGGTCACACAGATATAGTGTGAAGCGGAGAAGAGTGTGTGTGTGTGAGTGTGTGTGTGTGTGTGTGTGTGTGTTAAAAGAGACATATATAGAGAGTGATAGGAAAAGAAAGGGGGAAAGAGGGAAGAAAATAGAGCGAGAGGTGCGAGGTGAATCGTTAGATAAACTGAGAATCAGAGGGAAGATTCTCAGAGTTCAGAAATGGCATCTGGCAACAGAGCATCAGTTCACATCTTTGGCCTTTGTAATGGACCTGGTCAGAGGCTCTGTCTCCCCCCTGCCCTCCTCACCCCCACGCCTGGCCCTCTATAGGACTGATTAACAGCTCATCTGCACCCCTGTCACAGAGCCTCACTGGTCCCCTGCATTAAAAGAAAACTCCACCCCAAAACTACTGTATCTTTTGGTATTTGTTTCAGTAGTCCATTGTTGATATAGTCCCAAAATGTTTTGCATGTCAGCAATCAAGTTTTCAAGATATGTAACTTTCAAAATACAGAAATCTGGCCCATATGATGCTTCTGGTTCCTCCTAAAAGCATCTCTGTACTCTACAGTGTGCCCCAGCCCCTCCCTCCCTCCCTCCCTCCCTCCCTCCCTCCAGTAGGCTCTCCACACCTAATTACTACTCTCTTTTAAACGACAGATTTATCTTGCTGCTGCTGCTGATAGCACACAATTCAATTCATTTTATTCTGTGGGCAAAGAGGGGGAGAAGGCTGGCCCGTGACATTTACAAAGTGCACTGGTTCTGTCTCAGGTCACTGTAATGCGCACAAGTAATGATGCAGGGTGTGTATGCCGCCTACAGTGTTCTCTGTGCGTACGGTGTGTGTGTGTGTGTGTGTGTGTGTGTGTGTGTGTGCACGCACATGTCCCCCACTTGGAGAACATGAACAGCGTTCAGCCCGACTGTGCTGTAGCATTAGAGAGGTGCGAAACAGCTACTGTACTTGAAGGGAAATGGAATCACAACACTTGACTGGGAGTCAGTTTTCTTTGAAGGACCATGATGAACCAATGACATGGCTTCAGAACCTGCCACTTACCACCCCCCTCTCAACACACAGAGCAAACAAATAAATAAATAAACTAACAAAAAGAGGGGGAAGTGCTGTTTCCTTTTAACCCACCGCATGAATCAATCAATTATTTAACAATCAAGCCTTTTATTTGCTACCCCTAAAAATAAAGACAATGTAATGTTTCTGAAAAGAATAAAAAAAACAGGAGGTTTCAGAGGTTTCAACAAAAGGAGAGCTATTTGAAAGGCGGGCTGAATCCATCAACTCTCATTGCAAAGCTCTCAGCAGAAAGAGGAAAACAACTATAATGGGGAAAGGAAGGGAAAAGGTTAAAACAGGGAAAGAATGCTCCAGTGTTCTGCTTCAGAAGACTGAGTTCTTTACCTGCAAGCCCTAAGAGCTGTCACAGTGGCGCTCTTAGGACTTTGTCATTTATAGAACGCCTCTATCCCAGATGTGAATGGAACACCACTGAGAACCTTGCTCAGCCAGTCTTACCAGAAGTGGCTCCTCCATCCATACCACCATATGGGTGAACAGATGCCCAGGCAAGGATAGGCATGGAGGAGAAAAACCTATAAAGCATCTACAGCAATATTCCATCTACACACTCTCCATACTCCGGCCCAATTTACCCCCAGCAGCATATTTTCTCCGACTCCCCCGGTGCTATTTGCCTGCATGTGATGTACTTGTTTATTCACTTCACTACATGTGTAGCAGAGCTGTCTGCTGAATATTCAATAGCAGCCAATTAGATGGTGATTTAGGCCAGCCCTGGTGGGTACCATGTGATTGTCAGACCTAAACAAACGTCAGGCAGAGAGAGAGGGAGGCCTCACTGCGACATTTACATAGGATCAAGGCAGGTAAATAATTATAATGACGACCAAGTTGGATATCAAAAGACAGACAGAAAAGGAATAATTAGGGTTTGGGAGTTTCATGTCAGGTACATATTTACACATTTTGGAACACGTGTTAATTATATCAAATGCATAATAATGACTGTAGCAGGACGCGGGATACAGCAGGAGTCCTAGTGTTAGAACAGGTGACCCACTTCCCTGGCCTGCTCCATCTTCTTCTGTTGCTCTGTGGGCTGCACTGTGCTCTTTCTAGAGAAGTACATTCTCTACATCCTTACACTGTCTGGTTTGGAGCCTCACTAATCTCCACGTAGACCAGACCTGGGCCCAATATGCCAATGTATTTCCTGTATCTAAATGACATTCAAATAATAAAGAAAAAATGTAAGATGTATTGAAAAGTAAACCTGGCTCTTTGTCCACTCTCTCCCTCTGCCCGTCACTTTATCTCAATGGCACCCCCTTGTGTTCCATCCTCTTTTCCCCAAAACTGGTAAGCACCTGGCAACTCAAGGCAAAAGAACCCTTCAGTCTCCTCTCCAGCACAGAGGCTCCACTGTGTTTCACTGGGGTAGGTGGGAGCAGGAGGGGTGTGTTGCCAGTCTTTAGGTGGACTGATAAATGCACAGCGGCTATTCAGTCAGTCCACTCCCCCAGCAGCACTTACGTGTATCACAAACCCAGGATCAGTCTCCAGCAGCTGGCAGAGCAAAGAGTGGCAGAGAGAGGGAGAACAGATCCCCCCCCCCCCCCCCACACCACGCCCTGCAACGCACCAAGCAGTCGTGATGAAGCACAACTCACAGGAGGGGCAGGAAGGGAGATGGGTCTCTTCCCTGCCAACTATCTATTTATTCCCAACAAGATGGCAGGTTTTGACAACAGGCACCCAGGGAGCCATAAAGCTCTGGGAACCAAATGTCTTGATGATATTTATAGTGCTCTCAGAGAAATACTCCAATCAAACAGGGCTCAGAGTATTGGCAGGAGGAAGAGACTCCAGGGGTGGCTCTGCTCGGATCGGATCGACACACACACACACACACACACACACACACACACACACACACACACACACACACACACACACACACACACACACACACACACACACACACACACACACACACACACACACACACACACCTGCTTCTGCTGGAGCTTTTACTGTTCTGGAATTGGAAATATATGTTCAAACATTCACACTGTAGACTACAGTATGTCAACAATGTCTGCTTTTGCCAATGACCAATTAGGAAGAGATGTGAGATGATGTAATGAGACATTTTACAAATCTGGTGTGATTTTTCTATATTTCATCTAATACATTTAAGTGGCAATTAGCTGTTGAAACAATAAAAAAGCATCTTCCCCGCCACTCTTTTGGTAAAAAGCTTAGGGATGGGGTTGGAGAAATGTAACCACCTCAAATTCATAGACAGAGCTACGGATACGAGGACTGACCATCCATGATATCAAAATGATAGTTTTAAACATGTTTTGATGCTGTTTTTTTTATATTTGCTTTGTTTACAAACATTGGAGTAAAACAAGCTTATATTTTGGGTTCTGGCGGGAGTACGACAGTTGAACTAAGCTCATGAGGCATTTATAAGTAATATTTTTCAAGAATCAATGGGTACATACAGTTGAAGTCGGAAGTTTACATACACCTTAGCCAAATATATTTAAACTCAGTTTTTCACAATTCCTGACATTTAATCCAAGTAAAAATTCCCTGTCTTAGGTCAGTTAGGATCATCACTTTATTTTGAGAATGTGAAATGTCAGAATAATAGTAGAGAGAATGATTTATTTCAGCTTTTATTTCTTTCATCACATTCCCAGTGGGTCAGAAGTTGACATACACTCAATTAGTATTTGGTAGCATTGCCTTTAAATTGTTTAACTTGGGTCCAACGTTTCGGGTAGCCTTCCACAAACTTCCCACAATAAGTTGGGTGAATTTTGGCCCATTCCTCCTGACAGAGCTGGTGTAACTGAGTCAGGTTTGTAGGCCTCCTTGCTCGCACACGCTTTTTCAGTTCTGCCCACAAATTGTCTATAGGATTGAGGTCAGGGCTTTGTGATGATGCATCAATTTGTAAGTCGCTCTGGATAAGAGCGTCTGCTAAATGATGTAAATGTAAATGTGATGGCCACTCCAATACCTTGACTTTGTTGTCCTTAAGCCATTTTGCCACGACTTTGGAAGTAGGCTTGGGGTCATTGTCCATTTGGAAGACCCATTTGCGACCTAGCTTTAATAACATAATCTTCCGTCCTCATGATGCCATCTATTTTGTGATGTGCACCAGTCCTTCCTGCAGCAAAGCACCCCCACAGCATGATGCTGCCACCCCCGTGCTTCACGGTTGGGATGGTGTTCTTCGGCTTGCAAGCACCCCCCTTTTTCCTCCAAACATAACGATGGTTATTATGGCCAAACAGTTCTATTTTTGTTTCATCAGACCAGAGGACATTTCTCCAAAAAGTACGATCTTTGTCCCCATGTGCAGTTGCAAACCGTAGTCTGGCTTTTTTATGGCGGTTTTGGAGCAGAGGCTTCTTCCTTGCTGAGCGGCCTTTCAGGTTATGTCGATATAGGACTCGTTTTACTGTGGATATAGATACTTTTGTACCTGTTTCCTCCAGCATCTCACAAGGTCCTTTGCTGTTGTTATGGGATTGATTTGCACTTTTCGCACCAAAGTACGTTCATCTCTAGGAGACAGAACGCGTCTCCTTCCTGAGCGGTATGACAGCTGCGTGGTCCCATGGTGTTTATACTTGCGTACTATTGTTTGTACAGATTAACGTGGTACCTTCAGGCGTTTGGAAATTGCTCCCAAGGATGAACCAGACTTGTGGAGGTCTACAATATTTTTTCTGAGGTCTTGGC